AAAATAAACTATATTTTGATGATAAAAATACAATAATTGGTAAATCAGGTTCTAAAAGAAAAATTTCACCCACCAAAACACCAGAAAACAAAAAAATTAAAATTAGTTCAGTAGATTCTCCCAATACACAAGTATGTAATATTATTATTTATTTAAATTTTCTATGAGGCACATGTTATATTATATTAATTAATATTTAGGAAAGTGGATATGCAACAGAATCATCTCCTTCGCAGTCAGTTGAATCTACTATCCTGATAGAAAATATTGAATCTAAACTTTGGGTGGAAAAATATAAACCATTAACATTAAAACAAATTATTGGTCAAACAGGCGAAAAAAGTAATGTCAATAAACTGGTAAATTGGTTAAAATCTTGGTATTCAAACCATGGAGTAGGAGTCAATAAAAAATTAACTAGACCAAGTAAGTTTGATAACAAATATTATAATTACATAATTGGTTAGTTATAATTTATGACAAAAAAATGTGTTATATTGATAGGTCCTTGGGCCAAAGATGATAATGGAGCTTTTTTCAAAGCCGCTCTACTTTCTGGTTCTCCCGGTGTTGGTAAGTGTTTGTATTATAATATATGATTTAATAACACTATTTTATTAAAAATTTGATTTTAGGAAAAACGACAACTGCACATTTAGTTTGCAAAGAATTGGGTTTTGATATTGTAGAATTTAATGCTTCTGATACAAGATCCAAGAAACAATTGCAAAATCATGTATCTGAACTTTTATCTTCAACTTCTTTGAGTCCCTTTTTGGGAGGAAAATCTGTGACTAAAAAGCATGCTCTTTTAATGGATGAAGTTGATGGTATGGCAGGAAATGAAGATCGAGGTGGTGTTCAAGAGTTAATCATTTTAATTAAAAATGCTAAATGCCCAGTAATATGTATGTGTAATGATCGTAATCATCCAAAAATACGTACATTRTCTAACTATTGTTTTGATCTTCGATTTCATAAACCAAAATTGGAACAGATTAAAGTATGAATACTTCTTGACTTTATATCCAAATGTTTCGGTACTTATAGTATATAATTTTAGGCTGCTATGATGAGTATATGTTTCAAAGAAAAATTGAAAATTTCTCCAGACACTTTATCTTCAATCATTGCTAGTACAGATAATGATATTAGATTAACACTCAATCATTTGTCAGTTGTTGCAGCAGGAAAAGATAATTTAAACATAAACAAAAAATATATTAAAATGGTAATGTATTATTGTTATCAATTTTCAGTTTTTCATATTTTTGTATAATGATTTTATTTTAGGGACCATGGGATGTTGTGCGAAAAGTTTTTTCTGCCGAAGAACACAAATCAATGAATATTAATGATAAATGTGACCTGTTCTTTTATGACTATAACATATCTCCATTATTTGTTCAAGAAAATTATTTAGCTGCCGTTCCACATGATGTCCAGTAAATTGGTTTTTAGATAAACATTGAATTTTATTTATTTTATTGGTTTTAATTTTGTAGAGGTTCTAAATGGAAAACTTTTGAACGTTATTCATTAGCAGCAGACAGCATACGAATAGGAGATATAGTTAGTGCAAAAATTAGATCTACCAATAACTGGAGCTTACTCCCTGCACAAGTAATTGCATTTCACTATTTTTACTTATTTAAATAACTAAGAAATAATAAAGATCTATTTGAAAACAAAATTTTATATTTGTAAAAATAATTAAACTACCTACAAGAAATTTGTTTAAGTATTTGTCACAATTGTCAAGTAATTAACCAAATATAAAATAAAACYATAATATGAAAATGCTTTTTAATAAAATTTTGTAAATGAATACCTTTCTAATAATTAAAATTAATATGAAATTATATTTTGGTTTAGGCTATATTTTCTAGTTATTGTCCTGGAGAATTTCTGAGAGGTCATGTGAGTAAACAAATTAACTTCCCTGCTTGGCTAGGGAAATTTTCTAAGGGAAATAAAATGAACAGACTTTTACAAGAATTACAAATTCATACTAGAATAAGGTATGCGACATATTTATACTATAAATTATATTAAACTATAATTTGTTATAAAGAAATATATTAATTATTAAATAAATAATTTAGATTATCTGCAAGTAAGGAAGCAATAAATCTTGATTACTTAACCACTTTAAGAGATAAGATTCTCAAACCTCTTATGGATGAAGGCAGTGACGGTGTTCATAAATCCTTAGATTTTATGAATCATTATCATCTTGTAAAAGATGACGTGGAATCTCTTAACGAACTGTCCTCATGGCCTGGCCATAAAGATCTTATGTCTGAAATCCCAGCTAAAGTGAAAAGTGCTTTTACTAGAGCGTATAATAAAAATGCACCAAYWTTCAATGTAACAAAAAAATATAAAAAAGCTGTAGATAATATTGAAGATTTGGTAGATGATAATGAGATTGATGATATTAGTGATGAAGATGAAGAAGATATTGCAAATGATGCCTTGATTTCTGTTGTGCGTATATATATAT